ATATATGTGTGTGTGTGTATGTGTGTGTGTGGTGTATATGTGTATATATGTATACGTATATGTACTAACAAACATGTAGCATATTGGAGTGATACGCGACCGTGCCGCATCTATTGGTATTTTATAACGATCTAATACCTCTCCAGCATTACTGATAGCCTTTATATACGCCACTGCGTTCTGTCCACGTGCTTGTATTCATATTCCCATCCAATGCATCATATCTAAAGTACACTCACATAGACCGTCTCTGTTCCCATCCAATACATCATATCTAAAGTACACTCACATAGACCGTCTCTGTACTACGCCCAGGCTTTTGAACGGCTGCGTTGCCGAGTCGTTGACTTCGAGGTCTACGCTCCCATCGCAATTGATATCGCTGATCACGTCAGAGAGCTTGATTTCGAGAAGGACCTTTTCACCATGTATGTAGCTGTGTGATTTCATTCGCAAAATGGACAATTGTGGCCCTAAATATAAAGTCCTGGTGAATAGATGTGTTTTGTAATCAGGTAAGGTTGGCTGTGTGTGTTGATTGATGACATCTGGACAATTGTGGCCCTAAATATAAGTCCTGGTGAATATATGTGTTGTTGAATCAGGCAAGATTGGCCGTGTGTGTTGATTGATGACCTCTGGACAATTGTGGCCCTAGATATAAAGTCCTGGTGAATAGATGTGTCGTTTAATCAAGCAAGATTGGCCGTATGTGTTGATTGATAACACCGATGGTTGTATGTTGCTTGTGTTGTGTTCCACCGATTTGGAGCCTGCGCTCATTTCACATAATACGGGTTAGCGATAATCAACAGGACTCACTCGTTTACTCGTGCGGGAGATAGGGGATAGACTCGAATGGTAGGTGGACGTAGTCTAGACTTAAATGGTAGGTAGACGTAGTCACCAGGTTGTTTCCAAAGTAACACGTATCCATACCATCCCCTCGTACCTCTAGGGACAACTCGACCAGCACAGACATTAAGGAGTGCGAGCGTAAGCTGGCGGCGTTCTTGAACGAGCTCAGCATGGAGCCCTTTGATATGACCAAGCCACTGTGGACCATCTATCTGCTGAAGAATTATTCACAGGGGAGATCAGTGCTAGTGTTTAAGGTAAGTACTCTTATTATGGGGCCCATCTGTGGGTCTTAATGTTCTTATTATGGGGCCCATATGTGGGTCTTAATGTTCTTATTGTGGGGCCCATATGTGGGTCTTAATGTTCTTATTATGGGGCCCATGTGTGGGTCTTAATGTTCTTATTGTGGGGCCCATATGTGGGTCTTAATGTTCTTATTACGGGGCCCATGTGTGGGTCTTAATGTTCTTATTGTGGGGCCCAAATGTGTGTCTTATATGTTCTTATTTGGGGCCCATATGTGGGTCTTAATGTTCTTATTGTGGGGCCCATATGTGGGTCTTAATGTTCTTATTGTGGGGCCCATATGTGGGTCTTAATGTTCTTATTGTGGGGCCCATATGTGGGTCGTTAATG